ACTTTTCAAACTAACAAATTTCCCGAATCAGCATTTTACTACCTTCACTTACAAAAGGTTAGTGCTTTTTGTGACAATAAATGATTTAGTACAGTAGACTCTTGTTAAACAGAACCTGAAGGGACCAGGAAAATGTGTGTTGTTTAACAAGAGTTCTGTTTACCGAGAGATGAGCAGTGATGCAGAATTCAGGTACGAAACCAGTTGTGCTATCTATTCCGTTTAAGCAGCAGTTCCATTTAACAGATTTTCATTTACTGAGAGTGCGCTGTATTTAGGTAGTGAATAGGCAGACCTTTTTTCTAAAGGAGCATGTTTAAATGAATGATGTTTTAATATTGTTTCTCAATAAGAGAAATAATGGAAGCCTTCTATATCCACAAAAATGCTTCCACCTGCGTCAGCCAGCCATCTATTAACCAACTAACCAGTGAAGTGGCTTACCCAGATAAGTTTTCGACGCTGAGAGCCGGCCAGTGATAACCACTTGCTCACTTGTCATGAAATGTGTGGTCTTTGACCTCGGTTTGATTTTCCGTATGATGTCTTCATGCATAGGAGGCACGTGTTTTTTTTTTTGTGTGTTTTTTAACACTGAAGTGATAGCTTTCCCCTGTTGTTTTTTAGACTGTAGTTTCACATATGCGTTTCTGTGTTCAGTGTAAGATAAAACCTAACCTCTTCTGTGAATAATGTTTAGTTTGAAGTGAGTGCTTGTCTCTCCAACTCTGTCTTTCGTTTTGTCTTTTTATGAGCTCTAAATACCATTATGTATAGTATAACCATAAAAAAAAAAGCACAGCACATTAATCAAATACATATGACTACTCCTTCGCTATACAGCAGTAAACATGTGGCAACCACATTGATCTCCTTTACTCCCAGTAGCATTAATTAAAGTGGTGACAGAAAATTTGCCAACTTCTGTTTTTTTTTGCTCTTAGTCAGGGATTACTGACTTGTTAGTAGCAGCAACAAAACTCATTAGCCTCTGCATGAGACGAATGTTTAATTATATACTTGCACGTCACAACTGGGCACAGTTTAGATTTTGAAGAGCATGCAAGTGCTCCGTGACATAGCCGGCCTACTTGTTACCAAGTACTGTCACATAACCGTGGGAGCCAGTGACGTCACTGGCCAGCTTCTGCTATGTTGTCAGCACTGTTGTTTTATCTGCTGTCTTGAGCACTGACAGTGCTTATTTCCTCGATCATTGAACAACGCTACTTAGCTCGTGCGGTGATGGATGAAGGAGCTAAGAGGGGTGTAAAAATCAGTCATAAAAACTCCGTTCACTTTGCGAACTTTGCCAAGCTACGATTTCATTCTTGTCGTCATCCAACTGAGGAGTTGCTTTTTGTGTGGCTAGGGGCAGCTGTGGTATTAGGTCTATTGAAACATTTTCGCTCTGATCATTTGTAAAGTAGCTGGCTGAGAAGTGATGAAAGAAGCAGTGAAATGACCACATTGGTGCTTTGTAACAGTATGTATGAGCAACGTGTAACTGGTGTGATGTAAACTTTACCGACTTGTATTTAGATCAGGCAACGCTGCGTTCTAAAGGTATATCAAGCCTGCATATGCACGTTTGAGCGCTGCAGCAGTTATCTGTCCACTATGCAATGTGGTACAGTATATATATAACTTCATTACAACAGAGCTCCATAAAGAACACAATTTTAATCTGTTGTAAAAGGAGTATGGCAAATGCAAGCACTGTAACAACAAACTTTTATGAAAGCACTGAATGGGTCTGTTATAATCAGAGATAACTAAGAGTCCTATACGAAACTATTCTCAATGGGGTATAAAAAAATAACAAAAAAAATCGCATCTTCAGCGTTTGCAGCCCTTTTTCTATATGATTCCAGAAAATCGTCACAGAAAAACTATGCAGAAGTGCTCTAAAAAAAATTCTACGCTTAGCTGAGGTTGCGAAAATTATTGGGAAAGTCATAAAGAAACAAACAAACAAAAATGAGGGCGTATTTAAAAAAAATTATAGCTCCTAAACAGCGCGACCATCGAAAATCGCACTGCTTAGAGACGTTTTCGCACTTGTTGTGTGTTCATGGGACGCGATGTAGTTAACACAGCTGCAAACAGAAGTTCAGTTATTAGATTACGATAGCAACACCTAACTTGTCGCGAACATCTCAGAGGCATGTCTCGGGCCCGCTGTTATAGCGTCGCGCTGCACTAGGTGTATATACACGATGGGCCAAATATATTTTTTTGGCAGCCAATGGCGCATTACGTGGGCCTACGTCACAGATTTGTGCTGTCTGTGCCGCGTTTGCAGACCTTGCGAACGAAAAATGCCAAGCTCTTTTTCGCATTCGGATTCGTGCGAAAAAACACAGCAGATTTAGCAGAGGCTGCCATTATAGGTCTGGCAGCGAGCCCAGCTTTCGTTTTCTGTTTTTCTCTCATTTGGTTTCGTAGATTTGGCCGAGAATGTTTCAAAACTTTGCAGGCGTTTTCAAACACACAACGTAATGTCGGCTCTACAAGCGAAGCTCTTCAAGTTCACGTGTAGGTTAAACTGAACAGTCTTAGATGCAACACATAAGGAGCGATGTTTCAAGTGAAATGCAGACATGCCACGCTTGCCTGAAACAAAGTACCGTAACTTTTCCTTTGTCTTTTTCTTTGCTTTTGTTGTTTTTTTTCCTTACTCATGCATTGCTCTTTGTGTCATATGGTTTACTGTCTCCTCTATATGTTTTCGCGCTCTGCGCAATGAACTCGGTTGGAAGTTAGCGCTCGTCTTCTTCGTGTCCCTTTGTCGTCGTTCTGTTCCCGCGCTATAACTATCGTCATGTCATACCAACTAACCCAAGCCGCCACACTTCTAAGTTACTCTCTCTCAAATGCCGATCTGCAACGCGACGGTGCGACGCCTACCCCTTTCCCGTCCCTGACACGTAGAAACCCTTTTGCCAACGCCACGAGCGAAAAAAGCAAAAAAAAATGCCCTGGGGTGTTGGTTATCTCTCAAATGCCGATCTGCTTTTTTTTCTGCGGAAACACGCTCCTCCTTTCTCGTCACATGCTGGCCACACTGCGGCTGCAGCGCAGAGGGTAGCAGCGAAGACACAGTCGTCGTGTGGATAAATCGTGTGGATAAAATGGATAAATCGTGTGGATAAAAATGGATAAATCGTGACGCGCCGACGTTGTGACAAACATGCAACATGCTGCCCGCACGTCACTGCTGTATTGCAGTGAAGCATGTCTTGATTTCCTCAGTAGCGAGGCAGGGGTGCTTCAACCACCACTCATTGGGATCGCTAAAGTACATTGCCTAGAGGCTCTTAAAGGCTGTCGTTTCCGCGCATTCGCGTCGAAATCGGGATCGGGAATTAGCACACTGAACCCAAGGTTTCTGAAGCAACCGGACTTGTGATGACCGCCATTTCAAATTATCCACTCAAAATTTCTGCCGAAATACTTCGAATTTCGTGGGATTTTGAAATAACAGTGCTCAGATTATTGAGGTTTCACTGTACGTTGTTAAGTCGAATTGGAGTTTCAAAAAACACTTTTACATCGAAAACATAGTATTTTTAAACCTATAGGACATTATAGGTATGTAGAGAGTAACACAGCAATTTTAACTGTATGCCTTCTCATTTACTTTTTTGTGCCCCCTCAATCTGATTTAACACACTTTAAGAACTTTTGGGCTACCTTGTGCATGACCATCTGATGAAAACACGCATCATATAACCTTTGTGCTCGATTGCTGCAACTGAAGGGTAGCCTTTCTGGGGACGATTGTGATATCACTGCGCATAAACAAGAAACGGTGATCCGAATTCTTACAATACTCCTGCCTTCTTGGAGCATGGAAATCACAATCAACACACATGGTTATCTTCGGCAATCAGCCTTAAGTCTAAAAACTGCCAAGTTCTTTTTCTTTGAGTGGCTCTCCTATGAATTTTAGCCCAAAGCTGTACTACTTAACAGTTTCATAGCATTGATCCACGCATCAACAAAGATGTAGGCACCGATGCGTCAGCCACCTATCTATTTCTCTATCTAAAGAAGGAGTACTCCTATTTGATATTTTCTGGTTCCCAACAGCCCCCGCCTTTTAAGTTATGTTCTGCCCCCCCCCCCCCCCCCTTTTTCGGTTAAACACATGTGCTTTCACGATTTCTTTTTGTGATTTGAAAGTCATTCTGTTTTCAAGTGACAGAAACCATACAAATGCAAGTGTGCAACTGTGTTATGGTTCTCTTTTTTTTTTATCCCTGTTTTGTATGGCGTCCCATTTTTTCTTTTTCAATCAAAATACGCAGGTCGTTGCCTATTAAATGCGTGCAGTAGGCTTAAAGTAGTTAGAAGCAGCAACATACGTTGCGTTTTAAAGTTTTCTACACTTAGCCTATATAAGACCGTCTACATGCTTTTAAATTTAAAATATACATACATATCAATCGGAATGCAATTAATCTACACACTTAGCCTTGAAGTGTGGCTTCGTGGCAATAATTTTCTATTAAACTTTCACAGCATAGCAAAGTAACGCAGTGAAGCCATCTTTTCAAATAAGCTCATAATTATTTTTAGTGTATGATATAAATGCTTGAAAAGATTGTTTTGTAGCACTAACTGGCCACAATTCTGTGAAACCACCTATTCATAAGGAGAACATTCACAAAAACACAAATATTTCATTTCGAAATTATAAAAACAAACATTATGAAGCCAAATGCCAAGTAGAACTACTCGATTAAGTACTATATCATTAGAATTCGAAACTGATATCTGCACACCCCTATTACAATTTGTATCATGATGCAGACAAAAGTGTCTTTGCGTACATGGTTATCAAAGCAATTGTCATTTTGTTCGTGTATACTGCACCAGCTGCATATCTTTGCATGACAGCAGAAGCGTCTGCGATGTATGAATATCCTGGAGACTTGGCAGGCAAGCATGTTATGTGCAAATATGAAAAGGACTAATTAAAAATACTGTCGCACCTTCTTTGGCTGCTGCTGCGTCGACGCCTCGTGCGTTGGCCTTCCCTGTGCCTTCATTTTGGCCATGTACTGGAGGATGGGCTTCTCCTCTGAGCATGAAAGCGAGCAGATAATGAACAATTCAAGCAGTGTGAATTTAAGATGATGAATGCTGAAATAAAGAGGTCTGAAAGCTCAAAGACTATACAACCTGCTGCAATCAATACAATGTAAAAAGGATTACACTCTAAGGCTGTGATTTCATGTGCCAATGATTTCTCCTTGGCTCAATAGTTTGTTTCTAAAAACCCAGCAATGTTTAGACCACACCTGGACACGTTAACGAAAATAAGTAGCAGATTACAATGACATACACTTCCTTCAAAGAGCAGCTGATTACAGCAATCAATTAAACCCAGAAAAGTAACTGAGCATTTACACATGTGAAAGTAATTACTTGGACATTTCATTCCTTCAAAATTTTATTGCCGTTACACAATAACACAAGTTTAAACTGCAACAAATTTGTGGCTTGCAAGGTAGAGAGAAGGTTCTAGGCTTATGTGAAGGCTGGGAGGTTTAAGGGGAGACGCGGGTCGAAAAGTCGCGGTTTTCCGGAAAATTTTCGCTTTTTTTTTTTTCGGCTGTATTGGCATCCTTGGACTATAATCTATTACTTCTGAAAATATCAAGCTGAAATTCGCACGAGAAATTATCAAAAAATGCTTCCAAGTGGGCAGCGGTGACGCAAGAAATGCGCGAAAGTCACGAAAAACGGCGAAGTTCGCGTCGTCCTGTCGCGAAAACGACGCGTTGGCCGCCATTTGAAATCGTGCACGCATGCTGCGAAGGCCGTATCCTTCATAATCCACTAGTAGCCAGTCTCGTGCCTTCACGCAGAATAAACAAAAAACGAGAAAAATAACACGTACGTCACGCGTTTTGAATATCGCGGCACACAGCGCGAGGCCGCCATTGGACGGCGGTGCGCTCCACGCTCCTCCCCCTCCTATCTCTCCGGCAAAAGAGCGAAGCCTCGGACGTCGCGATCGAGTTTTTCTGCGTTTCTCTGCATTTTTGCGTCATGGCAAGCCCGAAGAAGTGCAGTTCAGATAATCGAAAGTTCAGAACTCGCCACAAGTATCGAGGGAAACGGCGTCGGACGCTTCGCAAAGCGACAGCGAACGACGATGTCGCCCCCGACCAACGCCCCGACGCTCCGACTTCGGATAGGCCTAACACCGTCACCGAACCCTGCGACAGTGGTTGTGAAATAGCCGCTGCCGTGGAATTCCTCAGTGCATCCCAAAGGAAGATTGGATTCTTCGAGAGTGAACGTAGACCGGTAGATGCTGCTACTGCGAACATGCTGCTTTGCGAAATCGATGCGCTGACGGCACTTGTGGCGGGTGCGCAATGCCCAACCTGCCGCGAACGGAAGCTCGGCGTGCAAGAGGCAGCTGGAAAGCGCAAAGGACTTTCGGCATTCCTCGAACTGTGCTGTCAAAATTCTGATTGCCCTGAATCTGCACTTTCGTTCACGCACACGTCGAGACGTACTGCTTCGGCCGGGGACCAAGGAACGAGCGCTCGTTTTGACAGCGGCAGCTCGCGTGACAGCTTTGCTGTAAACGTGAAGGCAGTTCTGGCAGCACGCGCTATAGGCGCAGGCCACGACCAACTTTCACGATTTTGTGCGATTCTCGGTCTTCCGAGCCCGATGCATCACAAGACATTCAACGGCATTTGCAAGAAGCTCCATGGTGCGGCGATCACGGCAGTGAGCAAAAACTTGCACCAGGCACGAAACATCACGAAGGACGCAGTCGGCGGCAGAGATGTGCCAGTCATGTTTGATGGCACCTGGCAGAAAAGAGGTCATAAAAGCCACAATGGAGTGGGCACAGTCGTGTCCCTGGACACGGGGCTCTGCCTCGATTTTGAAGTTCTTTCGAACTACTGCCATGCTTGCAGTATACACAGGGACCTTGGGGAGGATGAAGAGATATGGCGAGCTTTTCATCTTCCAGTTTGCCAAAAAAACACTGACTGCTCATCCCATGCAATGGAACCTGCGGCAGCTGTCAATATATGGCAGAGGAACTTTTCTTATGAAACTCCACTGCGATTCACCAGCTTCCTAAGTGATGGTGACAGCAAGGCCTACACTGCAGTCTGCGAGGCAAATGTATACTGTGACACCCCCATTGACAAAGAAGATTGCACGAACCACGTTGCAAAGCGCTTGGGAACTGCCCTACGGAAATCGGCAACGCCACTGCCACGAGGCGAAAAACTGAAAGATGCGACAATAATAAAACTACAAACATATTACAAGATCGCCATCACGAGCAACAAGGACAGTGTCCGAAATATGTACACTGCCATATGGGCATCGTATTTTCATTGCTGCTCCAGTGATGGTGCCAGTAGCCACAACTTTTGCCCCGCGGGACCAAATTTGTGGTGCAAGCACAAGCGTGTGGAAGCATTGGGGGAGCCTGCACCACGCCACACCCCAGTGTTGACGAAGGCTCAAGGATTGGCAATTATGCCTATCTACAAGCGCCTTACAGAGGAGAAACTCCTTATTCGGTGCCTTCATGGCAAGACACAGAATGCAGCCGAATCGCTGAACAGCAAGATATGGCTGCTATGTCCAAAAACAAAGTTCGCCTCCAGAACAACTGTGGAGACAGCCACCGCTCTTGCTGTACTCTGGTACAACAAAGGCCACAGGGGCTTTGAAGAAGTGCTCGAAGGCATTGGAATTCTCCCCTCACAAGATCTGGCCACACATGGTGACCACTGTGATGTCATGCGCATCGGGAAGATGAACCTGAAGCAAACTGCAGAAGCGAGGGCACACCGTCGCAACACAGCGAAGAGAGCTCGTGTTGAGGACACTGACCGCAAGAGCCGTGAAGGACCGAGCTATGGTGCAGGGGACTTCTAGACACTTGCAGTGCATTCAAGGCAAGGTACTTTTCATTGTGCCCCAATTTGATGCAAAAAGAATGATTTCCTAATAAATGCCAACTTTGCGAACTTTCCAACTTGTTTTTCTCATTTTCATTTTTTCTGACAGTTTCACGTTTTCCGGGCAGCCTTTTAGAAACTTATATTCATTGTATAGTAACGAAACTTGGCACACATATTCTTCAACACATGCAGAATGCAAATATCTACTCTAAATTGCAATGCCTACCAGCATTAGTTGTTAAAATATTAGCTTATTGTTTCAAGGGAGATTGAAAATAATAAGTCATTCAATACAATTTTTTTTTTCTTGGTTCCAATATTTCTGTGACATATCTATATAGATATTTGCACTTTTCAATCTACCAAGAGTCAAATAAGATCAGACACAGTGCTTTTACTGAAAGTTTAGTACATAAAAGAGTGCCCGCAAAAAATGTAACTTTTTGCTATTGTTTATGGCATAACTCAATAATTATAGCAGCTACACAAAAAGTGATTGCATATTTGAAATCTGCATGAAAAACTATACTAATAACAAACTTTTCAAGTCTCTATTACTAGAAATAAAAAAAAAAACTTTTTCGAGGAGCGTCTCCCCTTAAAGTGGTTTTTGTGGTATAGTGTTACACATTGTGTACTTTAAACAGGAGTTATTTTTCAAATTTTTTGTGGCTGATTCTTCCCCGTTTCCTCGTCAAGAGGCCTGCTACACTGAACACTATATGTGTGCACTGAATGGAAGGGCTGTACTATTTTAATTTAAAAACAGTTTGTACACAAGCTCGCAGTTGTGCAGTGCATCGACGCTAGTGACCACGTCCACTGCGAAGTGTCGTGCTGTCGTGCTTTGCTGTTGCTGGCAATTAGGCAAGGCATTGCAGGCGAGGCCAATTAAGGTAAAAATAAAGAAAGCTCTTTTCCCGTCTGACAGGACGGAGGTGTCCCTGCAGAGTGGTCCCACAATTTTCGGAGTGAGAACTGCTGCAGAAGACTGGTTTGAACTTAAATTTTGAAAAACATTAGTTAATTAAAGCTAATTAATTACTAGTCAATTACAGAAATATGTAAGAAATTACCCAAAACATTGCAGTTAAAAAAATGATTGACTATACTGCAAAATTACAAGACAATGTAGTTTACTGAAAGTAACTGATGAGTTGTAAGACATTGCGTAAAACTCTGGTTTAGAATGACCCAAGCCCCAATCTTAAAGTGGAGGTACGAAGAAGACAGTCTTGACACCCAAATTGGTCACTTGAATAGGGCATACAAAGAAGGGCAAATAGGGACTAGCAGAAAGATTTGTCTTCGTGTTCAAAGTATACAGTAGACTCTCAGTGAACGGAAATCTGTTGACCGGAACTACAGTAGGCACCTATTAAATGAAATTCTCTTAAATTGCTGCTTAAATGAAACAACTGCCACTAATATGTTTGGTATTGTACTTGAATATTATACCCCTCTTTATCTTTCAGTAAACGAAACTCCTCTTAAAGGAAACACATTTTCCTGCGGGGGGGGGGGGGGAGTGATTTTAAATGAAAAGAAGACAAAAATGAGCCCCGAAACTTTCTCTCAATGGGAGGACACCTCACCAGTAGCTCATTGGGGGTGGTAATAGGTAAAGGAGGGATTAAAAGGATAGGATTAAAAGGCAAAGTGATAGAGAGAGGAAGAAGAGAGCGAGGCGCAGGGACAGCGAACAACGGAAATAAGGAGAACATAGGAAAGATGGATATGGTCGGAGGAGTCCGAGGACGGGGCACCACTCGGCGAGAGCTCTTGTCGGCATCAGGAGATGGTGTAGGGCGAGCCCAGTCGGCCAGAGCTGCGCTGTCGTCGGAGATCGCATGGGCACAACCGGTCGGCACGCAATCCAGCGAAAGAGTCCCATTTTCCTGGTCCCTTCAGATTTCGTTTATATGGAGTCTACTGTACTACTAAAATGGAACTATGTATTGCCTCTGCAACGCTTGGTTTCAGGCTTGTGTTCTGCATTTATGTTCACCTCTCGGTAAACGAAACTCCTGTTAAATGAAACATTTTCCCGGTCCCTTCAGGTTCGGTTTAGTGAGAGTTTACTGTATACAGTAGAAGAAGATATACAACTGAATAGTAAAATAGTCTG